AATTAATAAATCAGCTGATTAGAGATAAAGATATACAGATAGAGTTAAAGGAAAGCCTTACAAAGAATATAGAAAAGAGGAAAATAGTAGTGTATACAGACAGATCATTGCAAAGGAAGGATTTTCAACAAAAAATAGGATATAGTATAGTACAAATAGACGAGCAAAATAGAATAGTATGTAGTCATAAGGGTAAAATAGAAAAATGGTTCTTATCTACATAAGCTAAGTTGGCAGCATGTCTAATAGCAGTCTTTTTTTTTTATACAAATACCATCGGCCAAATTTTTTATTGATATTGATAGTGAGTAAATGATACATATTGTGAGAGTACAACTAGCTATATGTACAACTTTAGATTATCTAATTTAAGTTGTCCGCCTGAAGGTTCTACACTAGCTGCTATACCTGAAATCTATTTAAAGATTACCTATTTAAACTCTCTGGCCCTATGATACTTACTCGTATTCTATCCTTATTTTACCAAATTTATCTAACCCCATGCTACTTCTCTTGGAAAACACCTGAGCTGACATTAGTTCACAAACTTTATGGTTCAGAGTCTAGACTCTATCACAAGGTATCCCTTCACTAACTCCCTAACCGATGGGGTGTTATGGTACCAACTATGCTACGCTATATCCCAATCTAGCTTGCATATACCTTATTTGATATTCGTATAAACTCGGTTCCTACTGTGACCTTTCACCAGATCAGTTCTCTATGTTTTCAGATGTTTTACAAGACAGATCCTTCTAATCTAGTTAGCTGCCAAGCCAGGTTGGTATTACCATATGACCTTGTGTAACGGACTTACTCGCACCCACTTAGTCACATCTTTCAGCTACAAATTTCTTTCACTAGATTAGATGTAAACCGATATGACCGTTGAAATCTGTACTACTTCACCTAACTTGGGATTTCTACCATGCAGGTCCTCTGCCCGTAAATCAGTGTCGCATATCATTCTGTGATTAACTACTATTACACTGATATTTTTTCTATCAAGATTTATTCGTATAATATTATGCCTTGCCAAACGTTCTGTCACACTTCCAATACCCCGATTGGTATTGGTGCAATATGATTTACAGGGTTACAATCCCAGAAATGAACAGAGTTTTCTGTAAGTTAGATACAGATGTCTAGGTAATTATTCAATTCTGTATACAGTGAGATTTGAACCCTAGACCTCTTGCATGGTAGTCCAGCAACCTAATCACTACACTAATATCACCAGACTATCTGATAGCAGTCTTAATTGCACCAAATAATAGTACAGTAGAAATTCGTACAGATAGTCTATATGCAATAGCAGTGATATCAAAGAGCCTTAAAAATGAAAGTACAAGACAGTGGCTAAAGTTCAAAAACAACAGTATTCTACAAGCAATAGTCAAAGTTTGCAAGAGCAAAATGTTACAAATTGAGATGCAAAAGATCAGAGCATATTCAGGAAATACATATAACGATATAGCAGATTAGCTTGCAAAAGAAGATACAAAAGGAAGACTATTACTCGAGATTAATAATATTAGCATCAAGAATATGAAGTTTCTTCCAGAATGGGAGGATTATAAACTTGATATACTACTTAGAACTTTCATCAAAACAATAGTTCAAACAACATATAAGGCTGAATGGACCTAGATAAGGAAAAAGAAGGACGAATAGCATCAACATTGCATAATGTCTCAGGACTAGAAAGCCTTTAAAAACCTACTAAGGAGTTGTTATAGGCAAGAAGAAGCAACTTCAAAAGCAAATCATATACGTACTTTTAAAGTTAAATGCATTGAAAACCTACTTCCAACTGTCAGATCACTAAATATTTGAAAGCCGTATTTATATAAAGACAATATATGCAAAAGATGCTTCAAAAAACCAGAGTCAAGTGAACATATTATCTGGTGCGATGAAGCACAGGAAGCACTTATAAAAATAAATAAGGAAGTTTAGAAAAAGATACAAAGTAACAAAAAAAAAGAAGAAAGATGAGACCTTCGAAAAATAAAGAAGCTATCCAAAAGATTTCCAGAGAAGAAAAATGAATATAAAATGTGGAATGGCTATGAGAGATCCTAAATAAAAGTGATACATTGAGAGTAAAAGAGATAATAGGTACAGAAAAGTCAGCTCTAAGGTTTTGGTGTATATTTTGGAATACATAGATTGAGCAGATTTATAAAGAAGTCTAGTCTATACAATGTAATGAGATGAATATTTAGAAGAAGCGAGAAAGAATATTACAAAAGGAAAAAAAGGCTCAGAAAAAAGCAAGTATAGTAAAAAAGAAAACAAAAGGAAAACAAATTAAAACGTGTGAAGTAGACAATGTAGCTACAAACTCAGGTAGTGTAAAAAGAACGGATGAAAATATGAAGGAAACTAGTTTAAAGTTTAAATTAGTAAAGGACAATATATTAAAGGAAATTTTAGAAGGGTTTAAAAATATATGAGTATAAGGTGCAAACATGATGGGCTGTGGTATTCTTCTTTTGAAGTATTTTTAGGTATTCGTAAAACAAGACCAAAGGTACAGAGGTTAAAGGTCACTATAGCAGATTGCACTTAGGTACTAAAGTAGTAACTAAGTAAGTTAATACTTAGAATTAATCACTAGATAGTAGAATATACTAGATAGAGTTTTTAGTTATAGACAAAAATTTGATTAAATAAAGTATTAGCATGATTGCTGAAAAAAAAAAAAAAAATTATTTATTATTATATTACTTTAGATATTTAGATTTATATATATAGTGTTTCTTTTGAATACTTAGTAGCTAAAAATAGATTTAGATTATACTATTTGATATAGCTTGATTAAACTTTTAAAATAAGCTATAAATTATATTTGTAGCATATGTAGCTATAGAGTTATCTTAGAATTAATATTTATATAATATTTATGTTTAACTATGTTTAGTTATATTTAACTATATTTAACTATATTTAACTATGTTTAACTATATTTCACTATATTTAACTATGATTGATAATATTTAGCTACAATTGATAATATTTAGCTATATTAAATAATACTTAGCTCTATTTAGCTATGTTTAATGATATTTAGCAATATTTATAAAAAGATATATAAACTTTAGCTTTTTTCTTCTTGTAAAGTAGTTTTATCAAGTCTTGAAGTTTTGCATAAAGTTTTGTATAAGTTTTTACAGTTCTCTAATAAAGTTTTCTATTAATTCTCTAATAAAATATAACCTTTGTTTTTTAAAATACTTCTTTTAAATGAACTATACAGTAATATAATATTTTACTTTAATACTATTAGGAGTTTTTCTTCTGTATCTTATATTATTTGTAGTGTATTGAAAAAGCTATGCTACTTGTAACAGTATTTAATTAGAAGTATATAAAGATAAAAAAGAGTTCAAAATAAAGGTAGTAGTGGTTAAGATTCTAGAAGATAATTCAAAGTAAAAAAAAAAGTTAATTAGATAGTTACTAAGAGGAAATAAGTATATTAAAGCAATTTAAAAAAGTTTATAAATAGAAACTAATAGTATCTTATTTACTTTGATTGTAAAAAAAGTTACAAAAAAGCTAAAACAAAACTAAAAAAAAAAAAATGATAAATTGATTAGTTAAATCAAATATTAGAGAAAGAGATTAAAAAAGAAAATCTAAAAAAAAAAAGCTATACAAAGCAAAAAGAAAAAAAGAAATAAAAAAAAATTAGACAAAGCAAAAACTTGATAAAATTCAAAAAAGAAAAGCTATCTTATGTATTTAAAATAAAAGAGGTGAATACTCAACAAGTAGTATAACTAAAGAAAAAAAGAAGTAATATTTAACCAAATAAAAAAAAAAAGAAACTAGTTTCAAAAAAAAATAAAAAGAAAAAAGAATATATAAACAAGAAACTTTATTAAAAAAAAAGAAAATTCTAAGAAAAATAATTACTTAGATAAAAAAAAAGAGCTTTATTCAAGAATTAAAAAAACAATTACAGTATAAGATATACTATATTAAATCACAAGATTATAGATCTTTTATATAATTAAATATTTAGAGTAAGTTAAAAATATCAAAACTATAAGAGAAGGATTTAGAAAATTAGAAACAAAAATATCTTTTGAAAAAAAGAAGAAGTTTTATATAAAGAATAAATTTGAGTTATTCTTCTTACAAACAAACTTTTGTAAATAAATCTCTATACTTCTTTATTTAATTAAATTAACAATTATTTTTAGAAAAGTTAAAATATAAAAAAAGTTTAAAATTACTAACTAGCTTTTTTAAAAAAAGATAAAAAATAAAAATAAATTGTTATTAGTATTATAAATAACTAATTTTAAAAAAGAAATATTATTAGTAAACTTCTTTAAAAAAAAAAGTTGTATATACAAAAGTATCACTAAATAGAACTAAATTATTATAAATATTATAAACAACTAGTTTTATACTTCTAAAAAAGAGATATTACTAACTAGCTATATAAGAGCAGTATTATATATTTTAGTATATTCAAAGCTTTTTTGGATATATCCAATATCTAAATATCCAAGTATCTAAAATGTTCAAGCTATCTATAGCTTTAAATATTTTAGTTATAGAAATAAAAATTATATAATTATATTCTTTATTTAATTCTAAACATTTTTACTTAAAAGATTTGAATAGGTTATTTTAATAAATTTTTAAGTAAATTCACTTTATTTTTTGTTCAAAATGTCTAAAATATCCAAAATCTTGTCCAAAGGCTATCTATGTATATTACTGTATAAGAGTACTACTAAATAGAAATAAATTATTATAGGTGTTGTAAGTTCTATATTTCTAAGAAAAAGATATTACAAAAAAAAAAGTTGTTTATATAAGAATAGTACTAAATAGAAATGAATTATTATAAGTATTATAAGAAGCTAGTTCTATACTCTTTAAAAAAAGTCCTTAAATGATATTCTATTTTATAAAATCTAAAATATTTATATTTTAACATTAATTAAGTTTAATTTTATTAGCTGATCGATATAAATTCAGATTTGCTTTATAACTTGCTCATATGAAGTTCGAAAATTAGTTAAATCTAATTGGATATCAAACATTAATATGAAGAAGTATTGCTATATGAAGGCTTTGTAGTAGAAAAGGCTCAAACTCTATTATCAATTTTGAAATAATTAAAGTTAAAATTTGAAGATATTTTAACAACTATCTAACCAAATACAATAAATTTTTTTATTTAAATTTTATAAGTACATAGAATTTAAATAAAATAAAAAATTTATTGAATTTGTTTAGATAGTTGTTGAGATATCTTCAAACTTTAAACTTTAATTATTTCAAAATTGATAATAGAGTTTAGGCTCTTTCAACTGCAGAGCCCTCATAAGATTTTTCAATTTTTGTCGATTATTTTATTATAAAAATTCATTATAGTAATTTATTATAAAAATCACATATCTTTAAAACGTTCTAACTCTCATTCTAGAAAAGCAAATTTAATTTTGTAATTTGCAAATGATATTAGAATAGTGATAGTTTTTAAACTATGTTAAGACATTTTTTTAGTCGTGAATTTTAATAGTAAAATATTCACGATTTATAAGTTCATACTATAGAGACCCAAAATATTTACATATAATTTTTAAATGTCACAACATAGTTTTATAGCCACACTACCCAATTATTATTTACAAGTTGCAAAATTGAATTTGCTTCACTATTGCAAGAGTTAGAACGGTTTAAATATAGATTTAAGTATGATTATTTAATTTAAATCATACTTAAAACGTTATAACTCTAGCACTAGTAAAGCAAATTCAATTCTGCAACTTGTAAATGATATTTGGATAGTGTGACTATAATACTATGTTGCGACATTTAAGACTTATGTGTAAATATTTCGGGTCTCTATAGTATAAACTTATAAATCGTGAATATTTTATTATTAAAATTCACGACTAAAAAAACATTAGATCTTTTAATTATATTAACAAAATAAATTTAAAAATGTCTCAACATAATTTTAAAACTACACTATTCTAATATAATTTGAAAATTACAGAATTGAATTTGCTTTTCTAGAACGAGAGTTAGAACGTTTTAAAGATACGTGATTTTTATAATAAATTACTATTATGAATTTTTTATCGACAAAAATTGAAAAATCTTAAATTACATATAGGCTGCACTATTTGATGTTCAACACCCATACTAGTACGTACCTGAAATTAGAGAGTCATACTCCAGATCAAGCTGGAGTGAGTTAAAGATCTGCTTAATAATCTGAAACCCAAGTTGGAGTTTTGGAGTAGGTTGAGGACTAGTTCCCCCAACCCAATCCATTAACAACTCTACCTGGAATTAAATATATGTGAAACAGATTTAACTCGAGTTTTAAAAATGAATTTCACGAATTCACAATTTATTTTTATAAAAAGCCAAGTTGATAAATAGATTATGTTTTTCAATGATACAAATTGATTATAATCTGATTTTTCCCTAAAGTGTACTCGATTACTTTTGATGATTTTGATAACGGCTTTATTCATATGTACATACAGGCCACTACACAAAAATAAACACCATTCGTTGTTTCCTTTGAATATACTTATATGAGCTGCCGCTATATCGTTATTGACAATGAAAACTAATAAATGATAATAAATGATAATAAATGCATAGCCATGAAAAAGAAAAAACAATAATATATATATATGTATATATATATATAGTTTTTATATATATATATATATATATATATTCACCATTTGGTGCAGGCGACACAGTTCTTAAACTTTGTTAAATATTAACAAGGAGAGGAAAGACCTCCATTATTCAATATGCAATTCTTCAAACACGATTCAGGATCTCACAAAGTACCATAATCTCATGATTATAAAATTTTTCCATTCTCCTGAAAGAATTTTCTTTCAACTTCTTTTTTCTTAAAATAATTGCGTTGACGGTATTAGAAAAAAAAAAGCATTGTTTATGTGAAATTTTATAAATATATTATATTTTTTACATATGATATTTTTAGTCTTATCACGAATAGATGGATCAAGCTAGCTATAGTATTCACATCTCATACAATAATTAGGTATGTACGTCCGTACGGTAAGTACGTCACTTAAATAAGGTAAGTCTCGACGAGATTTGGTTAGTCAGACTATAGATGGATAGGTTACATAAGTAATGATACATAACACACTCCTTAGTAAAATTATCATTTTTTAAATATAATTTTTTCTTAGTAATATATTTTAACTAAATAACATTTAAAAGATATTGATTAAGTACATAACGATAAGAAATAATATTATGGTTTTAAAAGTGCCGGACACTGCCACGTTACTATTAAAACATAGGGCCCATTCCTGTTCCCGGCATAAAAAATATATAGATCATTTAAAAGAGTCAGAAATCTAAGGTACTGTACACAAACGACAATGACATAATATTTAAAAGTGTTAGTAATATTAGTAATATTACGTAAAAAAAAAATATTTTCTCATAATCAGTTATTTTACATTTATAAGATTTAACATTTTTACGTTATATCAGAATAACATGGAAAAAAATTTTTAATAAAATTAAAGTTTATATGAATTTATCAGAATATTACTTTTTGAAACATAAATATCAGAAACTTGATCAATTTTAAAAAAATTATTTAATATTTTTTATATTGATTTATAATAATTCTTTATTTTTTTCTTGTTAAATTTGATTTATTAAATTTTTTATCAAACTGTAATTATCCCCCTTTTTTTTTATATATGCATGAAATAGATCTTTTATTCTTGCAGTAAATATAACAATATAATATAATATTTTTATGCATGTAAAAATTTTTCTGATTAATTTTGGTAAGTACTCAATTTTATTTTATACGATTTATAATATTACGCCATTCTTCCTGGACCCTTTTTTTTTCTATCTTTGTCCCTGTTACCTTAATAAACGTTCCGTGAAATTTTAGTTTTGTTCTTTTTTAGTTTAGTTCTTTAATTCTACATTATTATGTCATTGTATCTGAGTCCAATATTAAACCATTATTGTTACGATTAGCTTTTGAAACATGCATTTAAGTACATATTAATATATCAATATAAATATATATATTAATAATATTATTGATAATATTTATATCAATCTATCGTTATTATACGTATTACGCGATATATAACGATATAGATAAATATATCGATCTATACGTAGATATATATCGATATGCACGTGCGTGAACTGTTAACATTATGATATTATTATATTGTTATAATATTTTACAGCATTTTAAAAGTAAAAAAAATTTATTATTAAGAAAACGCGGGATGAAACCTATTTACAAAGAATCTTTTTTTTCAATTAAACATATTTTTATCATTCGAATATAATAATTATATAGTATATATATGTGTGTATATATATATTAAAAAAATTTATACTAAAAAAAAAAAAACTATTCTATAGATTACAATAAAACACAAATAATAGTAGACAAACAAAAATAAAATAAAAATCTACATGAAAAATCACACGTTTTAATAACTTATTAATATTTAATCTAGTTAATGTTAGTTAAATCAATAATCGATAATATTTGTATAAAGAAAAAAAAAAAAACTACGAAAAAAAAAACCATTTAGAACATTTAGAATATTTAGAGTTGAATCTATATACAAAACAAATTCAAAAAAAAAAATTATTAAAAAGCGGAAAGAGAATGTGAAACGAAGGAATATAAATAATCCTTAGTTATATTTCGCAATCATTGTTGGACTTGGAGGACGTGCATATCCATGTTGTTTAAGAAATAACCCACATTTGTTACCTAAGTACATATAATAATATATAGCATAAATATTATAAATAAATAAAGTTTCATATTTAAAATTATTCAAAAGAAAAAAATTTTTGAACCTACAAAGTTTTTGACCTTCAGGCCCCCTCCAACAAGGAGTATTACGCGTACCACAATTATTACATGCAAATTCTGGTTCAGGTCTTTGCGTTCTCATTAGACGAACAGTACCATCTGGTGCAAGTTCAGTCGGACGATGAATTCCTTTATTTTTCAAACTTTACATGAAACAATGTAAATGAATTAGATTTAAATAGTAAAAACATTTTAGTATGAAATGATAATAATAACAAAACTTACTATAAACCGCACGCATTACAAAGTAACGCGACACCTTGCAGATCGCGTCTCCAAGCAGGTGTATCACGTACACCACAGTTTGAACATTGTGCTATTTCACCTTGCCTAATTCCTCCATCAGAAGTCGGTGAATGTAAGGGCATAATATGTGAATATTCAGTTTCTGGTTTACGCCCACGTTTTTTTTTTCCTTTATTAGAATGTGAAGGATCGTTGAACAACATATAATCCCTTAATGCTTGGTCCGTGACTAATGCTGAATTCGGTGAACGTCCATTACTAATCATTTGCTGCGCCAAATCATATCCTAATGTTGTACTAATCGTATTAGCTGTAGGAATTGGTCCATAATAATGTGTAGGTAATCCACGTGCTTCGTTCCAATATAATGCTTGGTTCATACTAGCATAAGTTTGTCCATAATTATTAGGATTTTGAACTGTTTCATAATTCAAAAGACTTGGATCAATCCTTGGTCCAGTGCTCGAAGGTAAGGTCATAATATATCCACTATTATTTAATGTATTATTTAATGTGTTGTTATTTAATGTGTTGCTTAATGAGTTATTTAATGTGTTGTTTAATGTGTTGTTTAATGTGTTATTATTAAATGTATTATTTAATGGGTTATTTAATGGGTTATTTAAAGTGGTTGCTTGATTATTATTTGAAATAGAGGATTGTTGAATAGACGAATGTGGAACATATTGATAATAACTAGAAAATGAATGATTAGATGTATCAAAATAATCAAATTGCCTCGAATCTTCATTTCCAATTGTAGTTGTAGTATTGGTGGTATCTTCTGAAGATTCACAATGTGTTTCAGTAAGAGTTAAAGTTGTACAATTTGATAAACAGATTGGAGTACCGCTTGAGGAGTATTCTTTAGTAGGAGAATCGGTTGAACAATCAATTGGTGGTGTCACTACGATATTTTCATCATAAATTGGTGAAATTATTTCTGGCGTAAGTTCATTTTCACTTTTTTGATGATATTCCTCCGACCATCTCGGTGGTTTGTAATCTTGATCAGATCTATCTGTATATAAATCTTCTGTCATGGTCATGGTCGTAGTCGTACATGGTTGTTGTTCACTTGTCGAAAAAGAATCATTGGCGACGACGTTTGTAGACATTTTGTAAATCGGAAAAGACCTTTTTAATTTTTAAATTTTTTTTTTTAAAAAAAAAAAATACGTGTTTAGAATCCGGGGAAGGTAAAGTAATCCCCCAGAAACAAAAATGGGTGTGATCCTTTTATAAACATAAGAAACCAACGTTCTCAATAAAACAAACTCATAATTTCCCCTTGAAATGGCACGAAAACAGACTCACAAGAATCCCTAAAAGGTAAATGATTGAAATTTGGCGTTCTTGAAGAATAATGAGTAAATCAATTGAATTGACGCGTGAAAAGAAAAAAGGTATTTTTAAGATAGCCACAAATAACTATTTGTGCCCTGAATCTTATTATTTATCTATTTATTTTTATTTATTTTTATATTTATTAAATTTATTTATTTTATTTATTTATTAATCTGTTTTTTTTTTTATCGGAATAAAAAAAAAATATATAATTTCACTTTTTCAAAAAAAAAAAAAAAAAAAAAAAAAAAAAAAAAGGATTCAAGGACGAAGAAACCCTTGGCGGGTCAGTCGATTTATATTAACCAGTAAATACTATAATTACACAGAAATAACAAGAATAAATCTTCTAAATTCATTAAATTATAGATATTTGTGTTGTCATATTAGTCTTTAACGTCTCATCATTTCATCAATCAAGGGGGTGACGTTGAATATGAGTTTAAAGAAAATGATGCATAATGATCAATAATATAGTGCGGGGAATACTGGTTTTGAAAGTGCAAACTGAATTATAATGATAATAATGATGCAAAGTTGAATGATATCAAGCATATATTGATAAATTCAAACATCCATCATTAACATTAACATAAATATTAATAACATAAAAAATATTATAATATATTTTTATATACTTTACATGCGTCCGTGATGACTCGTGTATAATAATTTTGGTCACAATGAACTATACTTTCCAGGGTTTAAAACTGTTATAAAGTTTAGTAGAATATCAGGAATGTTCAAGTTTAATGATAAAAAAGTTTAAATGGTAAACGCATCAATAATTTCTAAATCGCTTGCATTTGAATTATTCTGCAGATTTTTATAATTACTGAATTATATAATGAATTATATAATAATCAATTTTTTTTTATATAATTTTATAAATTATTATTGCTTTTTTACGAAACTCCTCGACACTTAGCATGATCGAATTTTGCATTTACTCGGTCATCTAAAATATTCATGCGGTATAAAATTATCATTTTGAATTCTTAATTTTCAAGAGATCAATATTATTTATTTTTTTTCGCGTATGTTCCATTTTCGGTGATGGTTTAAGGCAACTTCATCAAGGTGGTCTTTTAACTTGGTTATTTATAATTCGAAGATTCAAGCGCGATCTTTGTTTAATGCACTCAATCACTTGATATCTAAATAAAAGATATCAGTCAAAAAAATGACCAAAGATATTTTATGGCAAAATTTATTTGCATAATGATATTTAATTGACTTAAGATTGACTGACTGAATCTTCAATTATATATTCAAGTTATGTTCAATTATGTTCAATTATATTCAATTATATTCAATTATCTCCAAGTTATCTCCAAGTTATCTCCAAATTATCTCCAAGTTATCTCCAAGTTATCTCCAAGTATTTTAATTATGAATTTCTTTTTCATTTTAGATTAAAGAATTTGATTTTCAAAAAAAAAGCAAGAAAATTGATACATATGCAGATATATATATGAAAAGATGGAGTGTATTTACAAATTGCGCGTTAAATTGGTATTTAATTAAAATTTTTACAAAAGAAACTTCGTGTATTTTAGATATGAATAGGTGGACTCTGAGTCACGTGATAAAGTCATTTGAGGCACGTGATCTTTCATTTATCACTTCTTAAAGAAACACCTACAGAAATCGTATATTTTCTGCTACTAATATGCATTCTGGCATACCGATATCTAGTTGGAACTGCTTTAGTCTCATGATCTTCAAGCAAGTTTTGTATACCAAGAGTATTTTCCATGCAACTCTTCAGTATAAAGAGATCTTTGAGTCAGTTTCTAATGCAATAGAACAAGCTCGTATTCCTTTGCCTAGTGATCCAGAATCATAGCGATAGTATTATTAGGCGACTTGAAATTAAAACCTCGTTTAACACTATTTTTTAAAAAAATTTGCATGGGGGGAGGGGAAAAATTAAACAAACAATAAAATTAAACTAAGTTCAAGTGAACAAACTTAGGTTCATCGAACCTAAACCAGGTTGAAGTTGAACCTAAAGATGATTAACCAAAAAAATATTTTTTTTTTTAACTTTATTAAATTGTCTGATTTTTTTGGGGGACCGGTAAGTAGAGGGGGGATAACGTTAAACAAGGTTTTAATTTCAAGTCGCCTTACGTAGAACAATATATCAGATATCAAATTGTTAAGTTTTTTGCCTATGTATGCTATAGGTTGAGTTTATATATACGTAGTCAAAAAAAAAGTTACGACCGTATTATTAACATTTCATGATCCATGAACTATTATCATTTCATACATGTATATTAACATGACTTGTCATCATTTTGTAAAAAGATGGGTTCAAGTCATGTGAAAATATAACTAATAAAAGACGATCGTGCGCCTATCAAAATATTGTATATTTGAATTTTTATTTTAACTAAGAAAGTTTAACCTATTTATCAATTAACAAAAATTTAAATAAATATATAATTATATTCAAGTTTATGCTTATGTATTTGGTCAATAAATTCTTATTAAATAGATGAATAGATGTATATGCACGTATATGCTAATAAATAATTGTATAAATAAATAAATATTAATAAATTATTTATGATGAATTGTAGCCCTTCCAACATGCATTCCGACCTTAACCTGTTAGTATTTAAAGAAAATTTAATTAAATAATCACTGAATGAACAATATGAAAACATTCTAAAGAATAATACAAACCAAAGTTTCTAAACATTGTGTTGAATTTTCCAAAATATCTTTATCAAAAAACATTCTTCCTTTTTGGAATAAAAGTACAACCGTACTTCCTCCTGTTTATCATGAGAAAATTTTTAAAAAAATTTTAATAATTTTGTTTCATGATGAATCTTTGACTATTAACTACATTAATACCAACCAAAAGCAAAATATCCATGCTCTTCTAATCGTTTTACATAGGTATGGGGTTCGCTAATGAAATGAATTTTTTGCAAGCATTATTTTTTAATCTAAATTTGTTAAACTTAGAATACTATAATAATGTATTTTAATTACCTTGTGAGTATAATTGAACCAACCATCATAGCACCAATTGACACATAAGCAACTTTACCAAATTGAGGTGAATCAATGTAAGATATAACACGTTTATTTACACAATACACGTCAAGACTATAAAATAAAGAATGTATATAAGATAACTAATAAAACAAATTAATTGTTAAATGATCCAAATATCATTTATAATTACTCTGAACGAATAGCCATTGGATTAACAGTGTAATAGTCTCCAGAAACTTCTTTTGGCTCACTCAATGTACCTTCTACTGGGATATGAAATCTAAAAAATAATAATAATATATATATATATATATTTATATTTATATATCATTTAAAATGTTCATATTTATCAACTTATCTAATACCTATGATAATCCTGTGGTGCTAATCTGAAAATTCCTAAGCTACCCTCTTCAAATTCTTTACTCATTTCATCGTCATTAAGAAGTTTGGAAAGAGTAAAGTTTTGTCCTTTAATCCAAAGTTCAGTAGCTTCACTTATTGTAGGAAAACACATCATACGACAATCCGCTGGACTAACTACAACATGAGGATCATCGGGTGAATCACATGACCTGGCTGTTGGTTTCAGCTTACGATAAAAGAATTCATTGAAATTTTTGAATGAATCCAATGGATCAAGGATTTCTCCAGTATCTAGCCCGTGGAATTCAATAAAAGGTTTGATATCTCCTACGGAGGTTGGTTTATTAAATTTCTTGCCCTGCTGCTCGGTAAGTTTTTTCAAAAGGTTTTTTGCTTAAAGAGGATTAATATTAATAATAAGTTAATTATATTTGTTTAATTATTTTAATTTGTTTAATTTTGTTTATCTTTTTTTTTTCGTTTATACATACTGGTTTTGGATTCAACTGTGTGTTTACCCTTGTATAAAAGACGAATACCTAAACGGACATAAGTTGCCATTTTCTCTTCTACCATTTGCCCAGTTTTACGATCTTGAGCAAGAATAATTGCACTGTTCTAAATAAATTAATAACAATTCAGTAAATATAAGTTCATATTTACTGCGTAATATAAAAAGTAATTATATACTCACAGCTCCGATCCTAAAACTACCATAAAATTCTTTGCTAATAATTTTAGACAACCATTTCCTTTGTGCTTGCGATTCAGTAACGAAATCTCCCGTAACAAATTTATTAACTTCACCCCAATCATTGCTTGCACAGATAGCCACATGAGTTACAACATTAGTTTCAGTTAAATGTGCGAGGTCAGGTTTGTGACAAATCGGACATTCCTTTATATAGACTATATGTTCATTATCGGATTCTTCTCCATTAATATCTGCACTACGCTGAGAAAAGTCACTCAACCGTTCTTCCAAGCAGCTGGTAAGTTCCGAAAATTCTAATTCATCTGTCTTTGGATTCTTGCCAAAACGAGTAAAGAAGCCAGATATGGTTTCATTTGTTAAAGAAGATCCTAAACTACTTAACATAGTTTCGATTTCTACGAAATTTAATACTCCATTTTCATCTGAATCATAAATCTTTGCCAAAGCGCACCAAAATTGACTTCTTAAAACTTCGTAGGGTACAAACTTTAATCGAACGACAAGTTTTGACTTACAAATATTAGCAAATTTGCCGTAAACTTCGAGAGGAATTTCTTTTTCCTCCATCCCATCTCCAATGTTTTGCAATTCAAGCTTTGATGTATTTTTATGTGCAAGATCCATCAACTCTTTGATTGGAAGAATTTTGGAAGCTACAAGATCATTAGTAGAAATTTTGTCCCAATCGTAAACACTGAATTTAATTATAAAGTCCGTTTCAATTGTTTTCACTGGAAAGTGAATTTTTTCATTCCATACTGGATCCAAGCTATGCTTGATAACGCGCGTACGGAATGTGTTCTTGGCAAATGAAATAACCACAAAAGGATCCATGTCAATATCTAAGCCGGTCACTAAATTGTGCAAAAATAAATATTAAAAAAATATATATATATATATATATACACGATAAGATTTAATTCTTTGGTTTCATACCATTCTTTTCAGCAGGAAGATCAATTGCGCGTACAACTTCAATAAAAGCCAAGCCAAGAACTTCACTTGCTTGAGGACTAGTATTATATCTTCTACGTTTAAGTGTCACAGTATTATTATTATATAAAACAGTCGATTCAGTTGTAGTAGACGTAACAGTTGTTTCAGTTTCAACAGACGCAATAGTTGATGTAATAGATATAGTATCTGAAGGTTCTGTGATGCTTAGATGATGCATCTGCTTCCAAATTGAAATCCATTCTCTAGAATCTAAAAAATCATTATCTTTATCAACGAATCCAATTTTTATATTTACTTCTCCAGATACTTTTTCATTTTGACGATGAGAAATCAATGGATACCATTGAGGCTACAGACAATTTTAATTCATATACGAATGTAAATATGTGCCAAATAATTGTCTTTAATAGTTTATAAAGAAATGATACCAAATAATACCGTATTCAATTCGTCATTATAACCAATATGGCCTTTTTCACAAAATCGTTCCAACGGGATAATTATTTCTCCCATATAATCTTTTCCGAAAATATCTTTATCCCAACATGTGAAATGAATTTCAGATGGTGGATGTTGAGGATCAATTTTATGACAAAATGTCGCGTCCCATTCAGGATTCAAATTTTTATTAACAACATGGGTATTATAATTTTCGTCACCAATATGCATGACAATATACTTTGATAAAAAATTTCCGCTTAATATAAACGAATTTTAAATTCGTTAAAACTATATCGCAAATTAATTGGAATAATACTTACGGGATCTGAAAAGCCATTTCTATCTTTAATAGCAAGATTTCTGGCTTTAATAATATCAACTTTTAGACTATAATTTGGTGTACTCATGATAGCAAAAGTTGAATAAAAAAAAATTACGAAAAATTAACCTACACTTTATAATTTCGGTGACGATCTGCCATCTACAATAAATAACTAATCATGGCAGGATTGTATCACATCACCAATGACGAGAAGTTACTATTTGCGTCACACCGTTACTAATTTACAAGATATTTGCTCTAAAATGGTAAAGGTAACCTATTTTATAACAATCTGCTACGTATTAGCTACGTACCTGGTTTAAGCTGTACTGATATCCAGATATATAAGACTGTTGAAAAAATAAAAAAAAATATTTTATCGTTATATACTGTATTCAATGACGATAAAAATGTTAAGTGTCGATCAATCTAATTATGTAATATCTTATGTGATCATCCTTGTACGTATAAATTTTTCGAATCACTCTAGTAAATCAAATTGCCATTTTACCACAAAGTGATGTAATTTTTTTTTTATCAAGTAAGTTTTTTTATGAACATTTTCTGGTTTTGAATATAATTAATTAATTATTATGCTTTTTCGATTAAATTTTTTTCTTTTTTTGCAAGTTTATTATTGCGGTTTGCAAAATTATATGAAATTTGCAGATCAAAAAAAAAAAAAAATCGATTTCTGATTTTTGATTTCCGATTTCTTTGTTATACAATTATATTTCTGATGACATGTGTATATCAACTAAGACTATTTCTTACGAGTAATTTTATAAAATTTTAATCCCTTCCAAAGTGTTGAAATAGATGCATTTTTCTTGTTATTTCATTTACCAATTTATCTAAAACCAATCAATTTTACTTCGGATTAAAAAAATATAAAATCTAATATTTGATAAAAAAGAATGAAATTTACTTAATTTACACGTGTTTGTATACAGATAGGTTGCCGTTATAGAAATCAAGCAGATCTATATTTGAAAAAAAAATCAATACCTTAACTTTTAAAGTTTATATCTCGATGAAGTTTAAAGCTATCTTGATAGATTAATATTCAAAAGGAAGCGTACGACCTAAGCTTTCTTTTGAATACTAGATAATCAAGATAGCTTTAAAATTCATAGAGATATGAGTTGTGAAAAGTTAAGGTATTGATTTTGTTCAAATGTAGATCTGCTTGATTTCTATTAACGGTAGCCCAGATATTAATTTTTAAATTTGTGTAAATCAAAATTAAACAATTTTTATAAAAATAAAATCTAATTAAGATTAGAGTTAAAGCAAGGTTTGCAATGAGATATTCTTTATTGAAAAAATTGCTAGCCAATAGAGTCAATAGAGTCAATAGAGCAATAGAGTTAGTTATTAATTATTAACGAATGATATATTATAACTTAGTTTTTATTGGTTTTATTTATAAATTATTTTTAATAAAGTAATGAAATAATATCAATAGAGTTGTTTTTTTTTACTTTAATAGATAAATATATTAACTTTGTATTAGAATGAGACTTGGAATTTTAGCAAGATAATTAGTATATACTAAAATTTGACAAAGAATTTTTTTATTAGAATCTCAAAATAGTTTTTTAGTTATATATATGTATATATATTAGTATATATTAATTATATAAATATATATATATTAATATACAAATAATATAGTAATTATCAAAAAAGATTATTAATTTAAAAAATAAAAAATATATAATTATAATAAGGAATATTCTTATAGTGCTATAGTATTATAGTACTACTCTATTTGTAATTATAAGATCAGGTATAATTTAAAATCAAAACAATCTATTTTATTTATTACAAGGTTAAGATGATAGTGTAGAAAGATTTTATACCAAAATTTAGTAAGGAATTTTTTTAATTAAAATACCAAAAGTAGTTTTATATATAAAATTTTAAGTTATTTTCTGTTTTTTAAAAATTGTATTAATTTTACATTAATTTTTATTATTTAGCATATATGTGTTATAATGTATCTACTTATCAAAATTCAAGATCAGATATAATATGAAATTAAAACAAACTTCTTTTATGTATTAGGTTAGAGTGATCTACAAAACTTAGCTAATAGGATTATTAATTTTATTTTAATCTGCAACAATCTCTACTATTTGTAATTACATAAAGAGTATATAATAAGCTATACATACAATTTTAGTTATTATCTATTTTAAATAGTCTACTACATAGGTATTAGACTATCTGATTAGTTCTATACTATACTACTATATCTGTAACCTATCTGTGAATTACTTATTTAAATGCTCTATTCATTAATCTATACAGATCTAATCTAATATCATCTCAATACTTAACCACTTAAGCTAGCTAACTTGTTATGAATCTATTTATTTAGAATAGTTTAGATCTTCTTGAGATATATTATACTAGATATATTATTAGTATTATAGAACTAGTTAACCTTAAAGCAAACTTACTAGAGTAGTCTGTACTTATTTTATATATTTATCTAGTTTAGGCTCTTGTAGATATTTATACAACTCCAGATTCTACTGTAGTTCTCTACTAGTCAGTTAACCTAGTCCTTTTCTAGTATTTAGCTAGTCCTAGTTACTCTTTGTCTAGAAACTTTGAAATTTTCTATCTTTATTAAATTGAGTTTTCTTCTCAAATTAGACTTAAGCTAATATAGTCCTGTTAGAATACTATACTATTTCACTAACTCAGGATTTCTACTATACAGATCCTCTGCTCATATATCCTATTAAGATTTTTCATATAATATTATATTATACTTCCAAATTCTGATCAATTTGGTATAACTTAATTTATAGAAGTACACTCTCAGAAATAAACAGGATTTATCTATTACATAGTAGTCTAACAATTTAATCACTATACAAGATTACCAAATCTTATTTTTTTTTTAGTTTTTATAACTTAAAATTTTCAAATAAATCTAACTTATTATTTCAAAATTTATATATATAAAATTATATAAAAAATTTTTAAAAAAAACCTATTTAGTTATTATAATATATAAAAAAAAGGATTATATAATTTAACACAGATGCATTATAATATACCCTCAGATTGACCAATCAGAATTCAAAATCAGGTATAATATAAAAATTAAAACAATAGTGATTTTTTAAAGAAATTGCCTGTAACTCAATTTTTCTTTTATAAAACCTCTTTTCACATTCCAATAAAAAAAATTTCTTGCAAAATTTTGGGTTAGAAGTGTTTTACTATTGCTCTTCTCTAATTCTAATGTAGCTCTGACCCTAACTCTAAACTAATATGAAAAGGGTTTGTTTTAATTTTTATATTATATGATTAGGTAGATGCATTATAATGCATCTATGCAAAATAATTAAATCCTAAAAAAAAAGTTTCAAAATTTAAAAAATTTATCTGACTAAATTATATAAACTAAAAATTTTTTTTTGTATAATTTAAATATAATTATATTATGAATTTATTTACAAAATATTATATTAGATATAAAATTTTTTTTTTTTTTTTTTTTATTAGTCCAACAAGGCCTCAATATCAGTTAATTTTTATTAAATAGGTTGTAGATTTACATTGGTTAGTAAGAGTACAATTAGTCACATATACAACTTTAATCATTATCTATTTAAAGGTTCTGCTCAGAGGTTACCTACTAATTGCTATACCTAGTATCCATTTTTGAATACTCTATTTAAACTCTCTGATGTTCCTGTCATCTCTAATGCTAACCTAATTTTATTTTTAAATCTGCACAATCTTGTGCTGCCTCAATGAGGACTACTCAGACTGACCTTGCATCTCAGTTTTCCTTATTAGAAGAGTTCTATCTCAAGGTACTCTTTTATCCTCATCAGGAGGGGCCTATAGAATAACCCAACTATGCTATGCTATATCCCAATTAAGCTAGCATATACCCTTATAGATGTTTATACAAATTCAGTTTCTACTGTGGCTCTCTACCAAATTAGTCCTCTATATATTCAGAAGTTTCATGAGTCAGATCTTCTCAAATCTAATTAGCTGCCAAGCCAGATTGGTGTTGTTACTAATGCAAGGCACCAGGCTGTATTATACAGTAGACTTACTCGCACTTGCTCGATCTGCAACCTTTGTACACAGACTTCTTTTCTGGATTAAGCATTAACTGGTGTGACTATTAAAATCTGTACTACTTTATCTAATTCATAATTTTTACTATACAGATCCTCTGCTCATAGATCTTATCAAGATTTATTCGTGCAATATAACTTGAACATTGCATCATACTTCTAATATCTGATTAATATTAGTGCAATATAATTTACAGAGTTACAACCTCTAGAAACTAACAGAGTTTACCATAAGTTGAATACAAAGATCTAGTTAATTATTCAAATTTATCGACAGTAAGATTTGAACTCCAGACTTCTTACATGGTAGTCTGACAACCTAACCACTACACTAAGATTGCTAAACCTGATATAAAATTTTTAATGCAAATAATATATAAATAAATATATTATAATTTATTATAATAAGATTTAATTTGTAGTACTATCTCTTAATTTGTAACACAGGCAAATTTGCTTGTGTCCACTTTTAATTTTTGTAATTTTTAAAATAAATCTTTAAATATTAACTTTAAATATATATTTTCTAAGTATA